CCAAAAATGTGAGTCCTTTTGGGACAACCATGGTAGGAATGCCTGATGATGCTGAGCACATCATGTTCCAAGCTTTCAAAAATGCCTGCAAATAGGAATTAAAAATTGYCTTGTGATTATTAAATTTCTTTGAGTTGATATCAAAGGAACCCAAATAAGCCGGTGTGGAGCCATTCTGATTCTAACTGTTTGATTGAATGGAGTTGAAGAAATGAACATTTCCCTTTGAGAATGAGAATTCATTCCAGCTGACTTCTTTTGAATCAAATAGATAAAAGGAATGGACCATTTTTGTTTCGGTTCCTTTTTTCAACTATGAACCAAACAGACCCTAAAATTGTTATAAAATTTACCTGGGAATCATCTCTTTTGCCGTCTCCAACTGCTCCATAACGTACAACATTAAAGCTTGTTGAGCCTCCTTTATTAATGCCAAGGCTTGTCGTATTTATGTTGATTGTATGCGCCATCAAATTTCTTTCTGCATTCAAGCATGTTGGCATACAGGAAACCATAGCTAGAACTACTAGCAGAACAGCCAGAAAATCCTGCAAAATAAAAGAAAAATTGATGAGTTATTTGGCTCACATGGGCAATGCCTAAGAACCCAAATCATATTTTAATATTTTGAGTTAAGAAGCTCCTCACCATGATAATCAGAAGAAAGAAAGAAAACACAATCTTATTCCTGTAATAACACTGCTCTTCTTCACATGAAGTGCAGTTGATGATATGAAAAATATAATAATTAAATTATTTTAATAAATAAAGAAATAAACAACTATCTAATTAGTACAACTTGATTTCCTTTAACTCTGATTTCTCAGAGTTGAAAGGAAATCTTATCACAGCTGACTTTTGCAGTCTTGTATACCTCCTTTTATAGGAGACTTTTAGTGGTTATGCTTCACATGTTTTTAAGGGTGTTAGTAGTTAGACGGTTTTAACTGTAATTTATTTATAACCAAATAATTCCAACTCACAAACTAAATATAAGTTGGTCAAAATATACCTAAGATGGATAAGGAGAAGAAGGGTGAGATTAGCTCAGCCGTTGTGCAGCCAGTAACATCACACATGACCCGACTCTTACCATTAGCACTAGTCCGGATCTCCTGTCCACGAGAATTCTGTCCATGTTTATCACAGCCACACATGGAGAATATCTCATCCTTTGCATAGAATTATACAGGAGGAGATGTTCCCAATTCATGGGGGTCAGTGTATTGTGGGTAGTAGTGGGCAGAGTTCTCGTGGGCAGGAGATCCAAAGTCCATTAGCACCAGCCGAAATCCTTAAGACTCCATGACCTAAGGACATTAAAGCCCCAACCCTAGAATCGTATGATGGTACTACCGACCCAATTGACCACATTGATAGTTTTCAGGCCCTAATGCAACTTCATGGGGCAAATGATGCAAGCCTTTGCATGGCTTTCTTGGCCACATTCAAAAAACAAATCTTGGATGTCGTACTCAGGACTGCCCACGGGCACGATAAAGAGTTGGAGTCAATTCGTGGAAATCTTCACCATGAACATCGCCACCCGGTAGTAGGCGAAGCAGATCACCAAGAAAGAGTAGGTCACCACACCAGAGTTCCAGATTAGGCTAGCAATCTAGAACCCCACCAGTCCAAACCCGCAAGAAAGGCCACCCCCCAACTCAAGCAAGAAGAAAATTTCTACTTTTCTAGGTTGGGACTTTCGAAGGGAAGTCGTCGAGCAATTTGTACCCAAACCGGTGGGACAAGTAATAGCTAAATTTGTTCAGGGCACTGGTAGGGTTTTGTTTGATTTGGAAAACCGAGGTGAAGGTCTTTATATTAAGAGGGAGGTCGTGGTCAAAGAAAAGAGAGACTGTAACGACCAAGGTATGAACAGAGTTAAAGTGCAACTGATCGATGGTAACGTCATAGAACTTTAATGCTTCAGGAATGAAATGGTGA